AAAAAACGAAAAAAACCCACAAAAACCTTAACAACGAAAATCAAGTTTTACTCTACTTGAGAAATCATAAAATGTTTTACATTTCCTTGTGATTGAACATGATTGAAGAATAGTTAAGTTTCGCGATCTATTTTACGCTGTGTTATCCTCAGCAGTGTGAAATTTTGAAAAAACTCGTGAAATTTCAAACTATTTCCATTTATACTCACAGATCTTTTGCAACGGACTTTTAGTGAATAACATGTTTTTTTCACTAGTGAAAATTTCAACTTTACGTAATGGCAGARGTCAATAACACGTTTTTTTACTACTCAATATAACGACTTTACGTAATGTAGGTATATTTTTATACACCTTGTTTTTCCAAAATAAAATATATATGCATATTTTGTCACTGTAACATCAAAGAACTATCAGAAATAAGCGGTTTTGGAACGTTTTAGAACTCTGGACAAAATAGGAAAAAAAGTTATGGTGAAATGAAAATACAAAGAAATGTATGTAATTTTCGACCAATGGCCGTTTGTATATTTGTTTCTAAATATGAAATATGTGAAAACGTTTTCACTGTGATGTGAATGAGCTGCCAGAAATAAACATTTTTGGAAAGTTTTACAGCCCTAGATAAAATGCGAACAATTTTATTGCCAAATGAAAATACAAGAAATGTATGTAATTTTCAGCCAAGCCTCGTTCTGGTGTTATGATATATTTAAAATCCTTACAACTTCACCAGAATTTCATATTTTCATTTCAATATTTTATATGTTGTTATTAGCACAGGTTCCTATCAGCTGTCAGTTTACTTTTACTAAAATTATAAATTTTAAAAATTTATGTTGAATAGATGGCGGCCATTATGGTAAAGGTGTATAGAAAATCAGATTATGAAAGAATTTATTAGATGGTTTAGAGGCTAACACAGCGTAAAAAGAGGTCGCTAGAGTGGTTTTCATAAACCCGTGAAACAAAGTGTAATAATTAGAGTGTAATAGATCGTAATAGTCGCGTAGAGAYAATAAAAAACAAAAGGGCCAAAGTGTAATAGCGATAAATACGCTAGCGTGTGTTTCACGGGTTAATGAAAACCACTCTAAAAGGGTTTATATACTTTGATAATCTTCATTGACAAATTTCATTCATTGAATTTTTATAGATAATAAATAGTACATGACAAAATCACTACATACCATTGAATTATCATCAGATTGACGACTTTAAAGAATTAGAGCCAACATGATTGATAAGAGCATTATAGCCATTAAGAATTCTCGACAAATTACATTCAAAAATATGAAAATAATTTGATGTATATTTACAAAGTTTTACCTACTATATATTGTGTCCTATAGTTTTTACTGAAACATACTTGTTTCTTTGACAAGTTGCTTTCCTAAATGATGACGGCATTCGGATAATGTCAACTTGTATCCATTGATTTTGGCCACGATATCCATTTTCTCGATCTCATGGCAGATCGCATTCCGCCGCTTTATACCAATTTCCAGATAATGAAAAAAGTTCTGATCATCGATAAGGAAATGTGGATCGCTTATATCGCTATGACGACCCCTAACGAAGATAAGCCTTGTTTTTGCTTGGTTAGTTGTTGTTGTTCCTTTTATTTCTTTTGTTCCTTTTTCTTCTTGTCCCTGACCTTTGAGTACATGTTCGGGCTGTTCTGTGGTGTCATAAACTTTTCCTTCTAAAACATCATGGCATTTTTCTCCAAAAACTGTGTCATTCCTGGAATGTTTCTTGGATATCGAGTATTTTTTCCTTTTATCATGCCATTTTTTTCGAGAGAACTGCGTTTGTTCCGCCATCGCTATTCGCACATTCAATATAACACTGCTAAAATTCACATATTTTATTGTCTTATAGTTTCAAAATCCTTGACGTATTTTACCATGGCAACATGCAGTTGCTATATCAACTAACCCGTTGCATGTAAATGTTCCGTGTAGAGAAATCCCTACTTTGAAATCGAGGCTAATGTGTGACGATGATAATGACGTCAATGGAGTAAATACGCCGCTGTGGGATWGGTCAATACGTCATTGTCACACCTCTAAATATGGTATGATGACGCAATGATACTAGCATGCAATGCGGTCGTGTTTTAGACTTTTCAAATATGGAAAATGATCGTGACATTTCAATTCGCATGTCTTCATTAAATGCCAAGGACAATCGGTATTCATTGCAGTTGTGCTTTATATTTTTGTGACGGAGACCTCTCGTCACGATGTCATCGAGCATGATTATCAKTAACCAAATCAAAGTAATTTCTGATTACGAACCTGTGCGAAATCGTCTACGAAGTCCCGAAGAAATTTACGAGAAAACTCGACTTGACCTGAACCACGTGATTTCTCTTTTCTCAACTCAGCGAATTGTGCTTTAAACACTACAACTATAATTCAAACTATTTTGTGTCTAGGCACAACTTCTATGCTATGCATTTGCAGTCAAACTTGTATTTCTAAAGAGTGTTTCAGATTTTGGAGCGCTTTATGTCCTATTCTAGATCTCTACGTTCCTATAAAATCTCTTATGTCTGAGTTACATGCAGTCCTTTAATTATGATGTAGAATAAGGTGACTTCAAATATACAATCAAGTATCCAGATTTATTGTACTGAAATAGTATTGAAATATGAATGAATGGGTTATATATATTAGTTGAATTTATTGCTGTGAGTATATTAGCAATGCATAAATCAACCATTGAATGATTTCATACCGTGGGAGACTAGGTACAAGGGAATTGTACCCAATCAACCATTGCCTGATTTCATACCGTGGGAGACTAGGTACAAGGGAATTGTACCCA